ATTTTTAAAGGAGTGGATGAGAAAAATTAATTTGTTTTAGTGAAATCATACTGCATCAAAAGTACAGCAATGAAGAAGTATTATTTACAAACTTTGTCAATATTGACCCTTTTTTATTACATAACTTGATACATTTTTGCTTTGGGATTTTTTTTCCTTTCCATCTCCTTTTCCTAACATGGGCTACAAAGAATCAGAAAGGTATAACAAATTTCCACATAAACATACAATTAGAAAACAAATCCCATTTGGAAAATTTGAGTTGACAAATAAATGTCACCTCCCAAGACTTTTTTTTACTTTGAACAATCTATAAAAGCAGCAATATAACATATAAATACACAAGAGTTTAAGCATTCTATACCTCAGAAGACTGAATAGCAAACTATTTTCTGAATCTAGAGGATTATAAACCCAAGGAGCCATGATCACCTGTTTCCAATTTTCAAAGAATTGCACTTTTTATAAAAAGCATGATCTCTGAAAGTGGTCTAGTTTTTATTCAGATTTTAAGTGGCATGAAGAATATTAGAGGTAAGAACTTCACAATGGATTTCTGAGCTGGTATTCAAGTATCTTGCTTGGTGGAGGAATTAGATAACTGGAGCAATCTTTTTTTATTATCAGTATCAAACACGCACACATGCACATACACAAATGTCCACATGCACAGGTTAATAGCATGTACATTAGAATACATAATGAGTAATATGGAAATGAAAAGACCTTACTGAGAACTATTTATGTACAAAACTAAATTGAGTGTTCTATAAAATTAAATACTTCTGTATATTTTTACTTAAGTAATATTAATGTTTGCCTTTCCTAAATATGAACTTTGTGTATTTATGTACATGAATAGGAAACTAAACCCATGACACAATCATCATAACAGAATCCATAATGTCACCAAAGGCGGTATAATATCTTGAAGTTCAAGGAAATATTCAGTAGTTCACAAAGAATGCCGAGTAAGCACAGTACAATAAAACAATGGATTTAAATAAAGGTCAAACATCACATCAGCAAGACAAAGGGAACCATTTAAAATTAAGAATGATATCCTGTCCACTTGTCATTCTACACTTCTGATATAACTATTTCAGAAGTGAATGTTCTTGCTTCCATGAGCCATAGACAATCCTTAACTTGAAATGTTTGCTTCCACTGCTCACGAATTATGAACAAATGGACACTACATAATATACTGTGTCCACTATGTAGTGTGCTGACATTTTCAAATGTAAAGTATGATGAATGAATTCTTTTCAATTTTGCTGTAGCACAATTTTTTTTTTCAATCACTGATGGGACATATCACCAAGAGAAAATTCTCTACTATAAATAGTCCCACAAAAGAAAAGTACAAGTTAAACTATATGTTCATAATCCTCACTGCACTCTCCTTCTTGTATGGTCAAGGCTTCTTCTCGTGATAGGCCTGAACCTTAGCCATCCTTCAAGATTGTTTTGTTGTTTTCCAACAGCACCCAAGCACCAGGAGACCTCATTTCTGAACTACTGTCAATGGTGTTTACGTTTGTAATTCATTAACAGTGTACATTGTGATGCGACATAATAATTCACTTATTTTCTGGCTATTCAACTAGACATGCTTCTTGAGGTTTTTGTGTTTAATGTGCTGTTTATATGTCACTGGTGCACAGGTAATCAGATTAGTCTTTAATAAAACCTATATAACACTCTTTCCTCTGTCCCTAATTTTTACCAGCCCTATTTTTGATAATGGTAGTTTTTGAGGTCATAATTTTGTCAATAAAGGTTCTGTAACCTCCTCTTGGACAATGAGTCACTTTGAAATCCATATTAAGAAAATGACTTTCTAATTAAACTATAAATCAGATAGGCAAGGATAAAGAAAATGGATAAAACTGGTATGTCCCAAAGCCAACATCCTTAAAAGACTCGGCAATTCATTCTTCCTACCTTAATTCTCTAAGCTACCACAACAGCTGCTCTTTAAAGGCCAAAATTTCTAGTTTTTGCCAGTATTGTGCTGAGCTATCTCAGATCCTTTCAGTAAATTCTACTTTCTGCTTGAATCATGCAGTCATTTTCTACTTTTTTCAGGCAAAGACCCTTATCTGATGTACCTACAAAGCAGATTACAGAGGGAAGTACCCTGTGCTTCATAAATACTTTGTTCATATGTACATTATATATGCCATTACATACTGAAAACAAAAATAACAAATGTCCCTGAAGTGAAACATGGCTACTGGTTAGAATTCTAATAACCAACAGGCTAGTACAACCCAGCTAACTCTGAGAACCCATCTTTATTGAAGTGATTTTTACTACAGTTCAGCACACTGGTTTGGTGACTCACAAAGTGATAATTCACTGCTGAAATTAACAAAGCATTTTCTGGTGTGGATAGTACTTACAATAATGACTCCCTTTAGTATTATTTGACATTTTGATTAACCCATCTGTTTTCCAAAAATCATAGTAGCCAATTGTGACCATCTGAATTGTTTTATATTACCTTACTGTAATATACATATGATAAGTTTGAATGCTTATTTCCTGGTTCACTCCATGAATAATTTAATGTACCTCCTGGCTCTTGTGAAAAGCAGTAGATTACAATTTCAAATCACCAAAAGAAGGAAATGATTAGAAAAAATGAAAAAATGGAATCATTTTGAAGCATAATCAGTATTCTACAGAGAAATTCCCCCTACAAGTTTTAAGGAAAAAAATTCACTAAAAATCATTCAAGTAGTCTATTATACGTGAAATTTTATCAGTAATTTTGAATTAACATATATCAATAGTTAACTTCTTTTGAAGAGATTACAGACCTAACTTCACTATTTCTATGTTCTTCAGTAAATTTACATCATTTTTAGACAGTTACATCTAGTCAGAATCCTTTGTATTGTAGGAACATTCTTTTAATCTCAGACATTATGGTAATATCATGCACGTATATGATATTTCTCATTACTAATCACAAGTGTTTCCTTATAAGTATTTCCCAGCAGATAAAGAACATATTGAAATGTGTGTATACTGGGGAGGGGGATTTGAAAACCTTCACTTCTTTACATTCTAGAACACCTATAACTACATGATAGTATTTCCCGAAAGATGATATTTTATTTTATTTGAAGTTGGCAAAAATCTTTGTGCTGAATCCTTTGAGCATACCTCTAGTGATAGATGTCAGACCAGCACTGTATGGAAGAACTTTTATTTGACAGGTAGATGACAAGAAGAAGCCTCTCTCCAAAATGTAAGATGTAACAGTAAAATTTTTCTGTGCATTTAATATAATCACATGTTCCTGTGTCTAAATGGCTTATTCATTCTTGTTTCAAAAAAAGCAATTCTTATAATTAATTTGAATACAGTGAAATTAAAGCACTTAACATGGAAATTCAAATTAGGATAGTTTTTTAAATTTTTTGTATGAATTAAATGTGAAATAGATGTCTATTATAAATTGGTAGTGATGTTCTTTAGGTATAATATTGTAGAAATGTCTATAAAAAGCATTTTAGATTCATATATGTTGCATATAGCATAAATGCTAAGCTATTAGCATCTTAGTAAAGGATAACTTTATTAGTACTGGTTATATAGCTTGTGTTAGTTACTATAAAAAATCCTAAATGGGCCATCTTATCATATAAATTTGGCTATGATTTATCAGGCTTATGAAATAACATAAATGTAAACTCTAGCAAGATGAAATTATTTATTTTGCAATATCTGGTATTTGTTCTCTTTCCTTTTGTTTTTCAAAGATACACATAATTCCACTACATATTTCGGGGTGGGGGGTGTTTGTGTGTGTGTGTGCACGTGCCTACATCAGTCCTAGGACTCAGGGCCTGCACACTGTCCTTGAGCTTTATTTTGCTTAAAGCTCATGTTCTACCACTTGAGTCAGTTTTAGTTTCAGGATTTTGGGGTAGCACATTGGCAACAGAGTCCCAGTGACTTTCCTGACAGGATTGGCTTCAAACTGCAAGATCCTTAGATCTCAGCTTTTGAAGTAGTTAGGGTGTAAGCTAATGATGCCCAGGAGTACTTCATTATCTATAAATATTATTCTGTATATCTCTCTGGGTTATGTTTACCAGGAACAAATTGTCTTTGTTCATATTAAAATGCTAGTCAATGGATATCCAATGTACATATATTAAGTATGCAAAAAGTAAGAAATTCACAGTTATTTCTAGATTTGGAATTCTGTGATAATGTACTTCAAGAACTAACTAAAATTCTGTGGTGTTTAAGATGTGAGAGGAAATGGGGGAAAGTGCTGAAATGTCATAGACAAATTGCTTGTTTTCAGATTTATTCTCATCTCAAAGATTTCTTAGAGGACTTAACCTAATTTGTTCAGTTTTTTTTTCACTCTAACAGAAAAATCTTTTCAAGGATATAGACATGTACAACTGCTTTTCTTTCTAACCCTTTCACAAGAGTTAAAACCTTAAGAATTATTCTCTAAAATGATGCAATCAAAACAGAACGACGATTATTGTTTGATTATTTAAAAACTATTAGTAAATAACATTTAAAAACGGATTTAAGCTTATTTCACAACCAAATGTAGTAAGGAGAAAAATTATTTTCCTAGAGTACCATGAGAAAATTTTCTGCCTATTTTCCTCATCAAATTTAGCTCCCCAAATACTTTTTGGAATAACATAAAATAAGGGAAAGGAATTAAAATACAATGTTTCTTGTATTTTATAAAAGAATTTTGGAGCAATTTATAAGCTGCACTAAGATTTAATCAGCACAAAAGTAAGTACTACAGAAGTAAATTCATACAACCTTTATGGATTTGACTGCAATACCATTTTAAAAAGGAATTTCTTTTCATTGAGATATAACTTACATACCATAAAAGTTGCTCATTGAAAGCATCTGGTTTAATGGGTTATTATTTCTTTTTGATTAACTCTTCTCACAGATAAGATTATGGTTACAATTAGCATAATAAAATAGAATCTTACCTTACAAAGAAAGTTGATCTTAAAACCCAAAGACTGGGCATTTCTTGAGCCTGAGTTCATGTAGTTTCCAATCAACAGAACTAACTCCAAAAGTTTGTTAAAGCTTTCACTTTTCTTCAGTTCTTCACAAGCTAGAGTTACTGCTATGATGCTGGGTTTGATGTTGTTGACATGTTCTTCAAAAGTGAGCTTGAAAAGAATGCTTTTGAGGCGAGATGGCAGCATTTTCACTGAGCTTATCTGCAAGATAAGGAATGCTCTCTGAGAACAGACATTTAAAGCCACTGTTTTAATGGGGATAATTTCATAGACAATGATAAATTCCTATATGAAGTGAATATTCTCTGGGTTATGCAAATACTATGCTTTGCTTATTTTCAAAATACCCAAGAAATTTTTTTAGCAATACTCCAAAACTGTTTGCTATTCAGGTTTGTTTAAAAAGAAATTAATTCAGTCTTATAAAATTAACAATATGTTTACAAAAACTGAACAGTTGTCATATGTTTAACTGCATAATCATTAGCCGTTAAAAGAAAGCAAGTCCCAGAACCTGTCTCTGAGGTGAACTAGGGAAATTTACACATAGGAAATTGATTTGAGTGAGTTGAATCACAGTTAACTTGTGTACTTGATGCCAGAAAATATGTCAAAAATTTTGAAAATATTATCTAACACTACGCTCTGTGAAATTACACAAAAAACTCTGTTCACCTAACAATTTTGAAACCTATGATTTCTATTCATAAAATATATTAAATATTTATGTACATTCTAGAGAATTTCACCTACATCACAGATGTTGATTTTAGATAAGTCATAGAGAAATTACTGGAACTTACATTCAAGTACAATATGCAAGAATTTTGTGCTGGTTTTCTTCAAAGCAGTTCATCTTGGGTTTTAATGATTTATTTCCGAGAATGGGCATATGTTCTACATTCCCTTTGTTATACCTTCAATAATAATTTTGGATTTTTTAATTTAAACTTTATTTTACAGGTAATATACAAAGGAGTTACAGTTATGTAAGTCAGATAATGAGTACATTTTTTTAATTCCCTCCCAAATTTTCTCCCACTTATTCCCCTCACATGTCCTTTCCTTCCAGAAGTTGCAGCTCAGCTCAATATATCCAAGCACCTTGGAATAACCTTATTTTTACTTTTTGATTTCCTATAGCTCAAAACTAATTGCAGCAGAGAGATTTTGGAGAACAGACATATATAGACACATAATGAAATCATTAGACATCTTAATTATTAATTACTAGTTTTCCATAACAAAGACTCTAAAACTTGGCATAATATTCAAATTATGACCCATAATAACATGTTATTTAGTACCAATCCTTGGTTTGTACACACACACACACACACACACACACACACACAGTGTGTGTGTGTGTGTGTGTGTGTGTGTGTGTGTGTGGACACCACTGTTAATGGAATTTAAACTCTGGGCTTTTCAGCGTTACCTCCCATTTTTGAATCACAGCTGGTGCTCAACTATTTAAGCTCCATTTCAGGCTTTTTGGTGGTCAAAATAAGAGTCTGATAGATTTGTCTATTGTTGTTAACTGGAAATATGTGTCTCGTGGTCTTGCCTGCCCAAACTCCCTAAGAACCACAATCCTTAAGCCTCCGGGCACAAAATCCTGAGAAGCTAGTACAACAAGTTTGACCCACTGGAGAGAAGCCTTGCCAATGTTTTTAACAAGTATCTTATAATAATCTTTTACTTTAAATATTTACCATTCTAGCTCGAATTTTAGGTGCTTCAATGCACATTATTTTAATACTAATATTCTCTCAGAATATTCTGTTTTCTGCTAGAAATCTCTAATTAAGGAAAAAATGATATCTCTATGAAAGGGAAATTATATATTACTTTTCTGACATACTGTGTTTACAGCATTACTACAATATGTATGGAAATAGTAATAGTGGGGAAACAGTTTAAAGAGATAATTATTAGAGTTAGTGGATCTGGGAATTACCTGAATCAAAGGTGTACAGAAGCAAGCGTACAGAAAAAAAAGAAATGAGTCAAGGACTATACTTTAAGGAGTACATAGAAGAGTGTCTTGCATACATTAAAGTGTCAAATATTTGCTGGTTGATTTCAACAATGCTCCTTAGCTGACTAACCATTTTCTAGACCTTTTCCCAAGAGAGACAGATTGTCTACTTAACAAAATTAAGAATTGATGGTAATATTTTGCTTTCCCCTAAATGTTTTTAATTATGATTATTAATCTCTAACCCGTCAGATTAATTTTATGAAGAATTTGTGCATGACAAGGGAGTTGGGGTGGCCATTTTTCAGGAAAAAGTTTTATTTTTTCATTACTCATTCCCTACAGCAAGGTTTCATATGTGAAAAATGATATATGATTAAAAATGAATGATTATGAAATGATTCAATACATATATCCATTATACGTATAGGGAGCAAAATGCTGGATTAAGAATATGTATAGTTGAGTAATAGGACAACATCAAGAAGGAGGATATACCTTATACAAAGTCATTTGCAATGACTGACACCACTTTAAGAGCTACCTTAATCCATATTCAGAGCCCCTTGGAAGATTCCTTTTTGTACTAGTCCTGGGGATTGAATTCAGTGTGTGGGAGCTGTCCCCTGAGTTTTTCTTTCCTTTGCTCAAGACTGATGCTCTACCACTTGAGATACAGCTTGATTTCCAGCCTTTTGATTGTTAACTGGAAATAAATGTCTCATGGACTTTTCTGCCCAAACTGGCTTTGAACCACAATCCTCACCCTCCTAAATAGCTAAGATTACAGGAATGAGCCTCCAGCATCCAGCCACATAATTTATTTTAAGGGTAGAGTTCAAGAAAGTTATGTCTTCAATTCCCAGAAGGGGAAAAGATAAATCTCTGTATACTGCAGACTAAAATGATAAAGTTGTTTTGAAAAAAACATGGACATTTGAATTACACATACATGTGCTTAAAACATACAGTTATATGTCATATAACTTTCTAGTTTATGTCATTGTGCAAGTTACATAATATTTCTGAATTATTAAATTCTAATCAGGAAAATGCAATTTCCGTTCAGATTTATGTAAGATACGAAAACCAGGTTTGATGGGACATGTATGTAATCCCAATTCCTTGGGAGGCTGAGGCAGGACAATCTGGCTTGGACAACATAGTAAGATGCTGTCTCAAATACTGTATGGCAGGCTATTTGCAAATCTCCTACAGTTGTCCTTAATTTATTCTCAGAAATGCTTTCTAGCAATAAAATATGGCCCCTAATTTTCTCAAACTTGACAGCAAGTTCCTCTCATTCACAATTAAGAAATATGTGTTTACAGCACTCAGTAACAAACAAAATTCATTATCCACTGGAAATACTGTGAATATTATGTTGACTATCATTTTTGCCACTTTTAAATTATGACCTATATTTACTAACAGAAATGGTAATGTATTTATATGTGCTGATATAAAATCAAATGAGGCAATAGAAGTGGTAAAGCCCAAAAGGTACCTTTCTTAACAATGAACCACCAATCAGTAAAAGCCTCTAACATGAATCAACAATCAGTAAAAAATTTCTTATAATGAAGCAATTAGTATATAGAAACCATAGGAAGAAAATTTTCACAAACACAAGTGTGATCTTTTATGATCAGAGACAATTATCATAGACAAGAGCTCCATCAGGGGTTCTGACTTATAAGGGAATATCTTGAATAACCAAGTTTAGAAATAATAGAAAGCACAGAGCTACATCCCCAGCCACAGATACAATTATGAAAAAGCCCATGTCTCATAAAGGCACTTGAGTGTACCTAAGTGATATAAGTAAATAAAACAAAAACTCTGCTGAAATGTCTATTTGTTTTTCATTGTGGTCCCTTGCAGCATTTTAGTTGACTGGCATCCTTTGTTTTATAATTCATTCCTTCAATTGCTGTGAGATGCTGACCAGGGTTTTATATTATGTAGAGGATTTATTTGTGTTACACTGTACTTGTCTATCAAATCACATCAAGCAACTCTCATTTCTTTAGCTGATCTACACTACATTTTAAAAAGTGCATTGACAGATTCAGTAAAAACAAAAAAAAAAACATAAAAAGTGGGTTATTTCCCCAAAGAGTTAGGCATATTTTTGTTTATATAATTTGAATTTTTTTCACTTTACATCTATACAGCTGGTGAATATTGATCTACTACCAAAATACCCTAGAAATCCACAGAAAATGCTGAGTATAAAGATCATGGGAGAATAAGGACATTACCACATTCCTATTATATAAAGAAACCCACATTTAATGCCTATTCAATGTAAGCATAATTGAAACTCTTGTCTTATCAAAATATGAACGGTAGTAAACCTAAAGAGGACCAGGCATTAGTGATTCATGCCTCTAATCTCAGCTGTTTGGGAGACAAAGAATAAAGGATCAAAATTCAAAAGGCTAGCCTATGCAAAATGTTACCAAAACTCCACCACTACAAATAAACTATGCTTGGTGGTGTGTGTCTGAGGTGCCAGGTAGGAGGTTTATAGTCCAAGGACCACAAGGGAAAGAAGTACAAGATCCTATCTGTAAAATAAAGTTAAAAGGGCTGGTGTGTGTACCTCAAATGGTATAGAACTTGTCTGGTTATTACAATGCCCTGAGTTCAAACCCCTATACTAGCAAATAATTCAATAGATTTCATAAAAACTACAGCATATATATATATATATATATATATATATATATATATAAATTTTTTTGGGGGGGGGTCCAGTCCTGGGGCCTGAACTCTGGGCCTGGGAGCTATCCCTCAGCTCTTCAGCTCAAGGCTACTGCTCTACCACTTGAGCCACAGCACCACTTCTGGCTTTTTTCTCTTTGCTTATGTGGTGCTTAGGAATCGAACCCAGGGCCTCAGGCATGCAAGGTAAGCGCTCTGCCACTGAGCCACCTTCCCAGCTCCAACCAATATATTTTTTAGACCCAATTTCCATTGCATAAACACAAGTTTTGTACTTTTTTTGGTGCCAGTCCTAGGGATTGAACTCAGTGCTTCGGTGCTATCCTTGAGTATTTTTCCTCAAGTCTAGCAGTCTACCATTTGAACCACAGCTACACTTTGGATTTTTAGGTGATTAATTGTAGATAAGAGTTTTACAGACTTTTCATTGCAGGGACGGCTTCTAACTGTGACCCTCAAATCTTATCCTCCTTAGTAACTAGGATAATAG